TGGAGGTGCTATTGGAAGTGATGGTGATTGTTTACTCGTTAAGAAGATTGTTATATATGAAGGGACACAACATATTACGTAGAGGTTTAAGAGTAAAGCACACCTTTCTGTTTAATAAACGTGGATGGCATCATATTTTAGTTACATTACCGTAAGTAAAAATAATAATTTTAACAAACCGTAGTAGTAGGATGCAATAAGTTTTTCAGTTTGGATCAAGGTGTGTTTTTAGGCATTCCTACACATAAATTGCTTTTGAAGTCATCTCTTGAACTGGTTCAGATCAGCTATCAAAAGAGTTTGTGTTGATCAATGCCTTAACTAATAACAGTTTGTAAGTTCAGTTTTATGAAACTTTGATGGGAAAACACATACCTTTGGCCATCTTTGGATACAAAGTCAATGAATCCTAAGAGATGTTGAGCGTGTGGCATGATGAGCATGGCCTTTGCATCTTTTTCAATCCTAGTATTATCCCAGAATAAGCCACGAATATACTTATTTTAAGCTGATTCGTGACGTTTTCATCACATTCGTTTGGCAGAGGCAACCCAAAAGATGTTTCTTCCATAATCTTCATGGAAGGAATCAAGCATGTCTCGAAATGAGCACCCATAGCAAAAGCGATGTGACCAAGAAAAGAAAACACACGAGTTTTAGAGATTCTAACATATCCCTCTGTGTTACCTCTAAGAGAATAAAAAAAAGTTCGAAAATCCAAAAAAAGTTCGAAAAATCACCTTCACCTTTCGAGATCTGCTCCGTTTTCGATCCAATCGTTTTCGTCGGACTCTTCTTCTGCTTCGCGGTTACTATTTCTGCAAGAATATTCCTGCCTTTATCCTTCAAATTCGTTGTAGATCGAGTCGCCAATCTCTCGTTGAAATCAGGATCTTCTTTGATTTGTTTCCAGTTTCCGTAACCATGCTTATCCACGCCTTCGAAGAATGCATCAGTTTCATCATCAGTAAATTTTCTATAAGGTCTCGTCGCCATTGGAGAAGAAGAAGGTTTGAGATATGGAGATTCGATTTTTTCGAGAAGCTAACTCAGGTAGACTGGCATAGGCAAGAATCTCGAATACGAGACTTCCTTTCTCGAGGACACTCTCGTAATCAAACATTCTAACAAACAGGTTCATAATCTCAATCGTGCTCTGTCTAACAAAACGCTCTGTATCGTCCGTGCTACAGAGTTTCTCGATCACAACATGAAGAACATCGCATAAAGACATCAAAAGTTTAAGCTGTTCATCAGGATCATCCACTGCTACAACTGGAAAGTTCACAGTCTGAACTAACTTATTCAATATGACAGGAAGGAGATGTAACCCTATGATGTCTGAAATGCTTTGAACATCTGACAACCTTGCTCAATGCTTTGTATGCAGCAACTCTTAGCTTAGAAGCTTCTTCACATGTAACATTAGCAACAACATCTTCATGTGTATACTCAGCAGCTCTTCACTCTAACTTAGAAGTGTTTTCATCACCAATACATTAAGCGGTATCAAGCAGCCCTTGAATAATCTTTCTTAGATATGGAGAGAGAGGTGAAGAAGTTGTTTTAGGATCTTCGAAGCCCTTTGCGAGGTTCCAAAAATAATCAGGTTACAGATACGATGACAAATTAAATAAAAGAATGGTTTGAATTGGATTTGTCCTTGTGATGCACATGGACGACAACCTAGGTTGTAGATACTGTTATTGAATAATCATACAAAGCTACACTTCAGTTAAGAGAAAGGTTATGATTCTTTTTATTTTGTCTTTTTTTTTGTCTTTGCTTTTTTAAGTTTTTGTCGAGAACCACAAATGTAAGAAGAGGGAACTTGGGACATAGCTTATGGGATTCCATGTACAATCAATGACTTCTTCATGAGGTGTAGTGGCTAATGTAGAGATATTTTGTCAGACCTACTTGTTGCATATGTTTTGAACATTACATGCATGTTATGATCTTTGTTCATGTAGTGAAAAAATCTAGAAAGTATGGAAAAATTCCTCTTTGTATAAAACAGTTTAAGCAACCACCACCTTAAAAGATTTATCCGGCACTAAGACATTGCATTAGTCGGATACCGAGTGTTTTACTAGGAAAATTAAAGCCATTAAAAGCTTTAGATTAAGCACAATGAACTCTTTCTCTGTTAAACTAGAACGTTTATACTCTCTAAAAAATCTCTTGTTCTCAATAATATTAAAACAATTATGCCCTACAAGAATGATGTAATCAAGAATCATCTTTTGCTAAGACATTCCCTTAATCTGATACCGACTGTTTTACTAGGAAGATTAAACAACCCTTAATTGTGCACGGATTTTTAATTATGCTATTTTCTATGTAAACTCATCACCACCAGATTGGGTAACCAGCTGGTCATAATTTGGTTTATAATGCTGTTGACAAAAAAAAAAGATTAAACAACCCTTAAACACATGTTTTTGATTAAGCACAATGAACTTTCTCTGTTAAACTTTAAGGTTTATGCGCTCTAAAAAAATCTCTTGCTCTCAATAAGAATAAAACATTTATGCTCCACAAGAATTAATGATGTAATCATCCTTTGCTACACAAGAATTAGGAAACATTTTCCTTTTCTAAGTTAATTTACTTTTTCCTATGTATATAATAAAAAAGGCAAAAATTTGGGTCTGTTTTTTTCCTTTTGGTAACACACTAGTCGATGCCTCAAATTCACTCCTTGTTGTCTTGGGTTTTTGCAGACAAACCTTAGACTGCCATCATCTGGAATCGAGCAACCAAACAATCATCCAAACTCCACATATAGAACGATAAGCACACACAAATTAGGTCTGCTTTTCAATCTACATATGAACATAATGCCTTCCATTGTAACAGGAAGACCATTGTCATACAATTCATCTTTTCTAAGCCTTATTCTTGTGTATCTCTTCGGTTTTGATGATTCCAAAAGTGATTTCCTATCTAAAACTTGTACCAATGATAGACCTTTTTAATTATATGACCTCTCTTTCCACAAAATAAACATGTTGTATCCAAATACTTGTGATGACCTAGCCTTGATTTTGGAAGCAGCTTTGAATTCAAGTGCACTTCTTGCTTTATATTATCC